TAAAAATTAATATTTAAAATTTAAAAAAACGGATTGTTTTTATTGAGATTTTTTTCTAGTGCAGGAAAAAAAATAGGATTTATCAGAATGAAATACTTTTAAACATAGAAAAACGACAAAATCTTGTACATTATTGATTAGATAAAAAAGTTAAGGATACCGTTGTGAGTCGAACATTGTCATGGTGGATCACTTTGAACTACGCAAACAGTCCTTTTAAATAACTCATAAAAATATTTCAATTTCCCATTGCATAATGAAAAACATATATAATAGTTAATTGTCTTTTTAAATTACTTAAACATTAAATGAAAATAAAAAAATCTTATCATTTGGGTTCTTCAAGGGCAATTGGTTAAAGCGATGAGCATTGAGCCCTTTTCTATGTAATATATACAATCTGCCACATACCTTTGTGAAGATCAAAGGTTAATCGATTTTTGTAAATGTCATTATCCTTGTCAACATAGACGATAGGCCAGGAGTACTGGAGTACTGGAGTACAGGAGTACTGGAGTACTGGAGTACTGGAGTACAGGAGTACAGGAGTACAGGAGTACAGGAGTACAGGAGTACAGGAGTACTGGAGTACTGGAGTACTGGAGTACAGGAGTACAGGAGTACAGGAGTACTGGAGTACAGGAGTACAGGAGTACAGAAGTACAGGAGTACAGGATTACAGGAGTACAGGAGTACTCTAAAGGATTAAAAGGAAGTCTAGGAAATCACATTCTAAAAATCTTATCTAAAATAATAGTTTGGTTTAGTTTAATGGCGGCACAAATCATCTTCAATTTCCTTACTCATAAACACACACACACAAACTCACAGAAAAGATTTACGGAAATCCTAAAACACTGAAAATCACGCCTTCCGTCATATTCATATCACTTCCCTTGTATAACAATTGTTCCACTACTTAAACAGGGGCGGACACAGGATTTAAGTGAGGTGGAGGCAAGATTTTTAAGGAACAAAAAAATTCATAATTAGGGGGGAAAAATCGCGGCGCAGGTGAAACTTTTTTTGGACTTAAAAGACTCAAAAAGAGTCAAAATTAATGACTAGAGACTAAAAAACTAGATTTTTAACTTTTCACACATTATAGTTTATTGAGACAGATATTTTTCCTGTTTTGCACGAGGGTTTCTTTCCCTTAAGCATGCTATTGAGAAGCTATTCTGAAAATAGGAACAAAAAATTCCAAATTCAGGGGGGGAGTAACGCCCCTCCCTGAATCTGTCAGGGGGGGGGGGATTTCCCCCCGGCCCCCCCTGTATCCGCCCCTGTACTGAAAATTACGCAAAATAAGTTATGATATATGGTATAATTTTGTTGTATTAATTTATGGTTATCAAAAACCAAAGGAATTGAGTCTTTTCCAAAAACTCTGATTTTCCATTCCCTATATCTTTGCAACCCAATGTAGTAGACCTTAGATATTTCAAAGTGTGAATTCTGGTAAGATAAAATAATCTTAGCTTGAAATATTATAGAACAGTAGCATTAAGCCATACTGATGGAGATGTCCTTGTTTTCCTACATGAAAATTGATAATTATAGCAGTTACTCAATAAAAATGTATGGAGCTGAAACAAGGAAATAAATTGAAATAATTTTCTAATTTTCTCTTTTTCAAGTTTACCAATTTTAAGTCATGTATACTGTAGTGTATGATTTATACTGTATTGTCTTATTTTGTCTCTGCCCCCCCTATAACCTTGCCCCCCCCCCACACCATGATCTGACAAACTATCATTATCTTCCATCATTTTCAGTTTTCATCTTTACTTATCTATATTTCAACCTTGGGAATAGGAAGCTATAATAACCATTAACTTTTGAAATACGTTTACTTTAGTGCAAGACCTTTAAAACTGTGTAATAAAAAGACGACATTTTATAAATCTCGTGTGTAATTGATGTTGTTTTAAAGCAAATAGTTTTAACAGCGGCTTGAAATAAAATAAAATCATAACTAAAAAATATTTGTCCAAAATTCCAAAATTTATGTTTCCACCCGTATCTAAAATAAATAGAACCTGTTCCGTAACTACAGATTTTTTTAAAGAATTTTTGGTCATATTTATTACAAAAGCCATCATACAAAAGGCTTTTTAGTTTAATTAGAAAAACCTTACTCAAAGTGCTCACTCCTGTGTGCTTGAGTCCATTAGCGCCTGATCCAATCAGGGTTAAGTCTGTGTTTGTTTTCTAATCTGAACCAACAGAAATAGTTTGGAAGATATCTATCTTTCTATCTATCTCATTATCCAATTAGAGATATGAAGCCTTTAATCGGCGCTAACAGTAAATGGAAATATTTACTTCTACTGAAACTATAGTGTGGATAATTGTTAATGATTTATTTATTAAAAATAAGAATAGAGAACTTATCCTTTTCCCTTCCTTTATTATGTAGAATAATGATTCTAATGTAATATCTTACAGCAAAAAGTAATAATATGGAGACAAAATGAAATAAATATGGCCAGGTTTAGGAGAGGCTGTTTGTATTAATCCTCCACCTTGCATTGCAGAGAAGTTTTAAGTTTTTCTCAAAAACTGTCCGTTAACAGTTATTTATAGTTTAACTCAATCCTCTACATAATATCTATTATGATCAGAGTTTAATAATGTATTAGTATGATTACGACATCATTATTTTGGTTTTGATGCAAATAGCTTCTCAATAACACTTAAGAAAGAAAATAACATAATGCCAAACAAGCAAAATATCTATTTGAATAAACTATATAACAGTGTCTGATAAGTCAAAAATTTAGTTTTTGAGTGTTTTGAGTTATTAATTTTGACCCTTTTGAGCTTTGCTTTCTAACCTTTGTGCCCCCCCCCCTTGAAAAATGTTTAAAGCTACGGGCCGGGTATGTTAAAAGAATTGAGTCTTTGCCAATAACTTAGGCACCTGATGGCGTAAACCTTTGATATATCAAACTTAGATTGTTTTGTCTAAAAACATTCATAGTTTGAAATATCTAAGGTTTACTACTTTGGGTTGCAAAGATATAGGGACTATATAGAAAATCAGAGATTGTGACAAAGACTCAATTCCTTTACGGGTTTAGGTTAAATCTGTCTTTCTCCTCGATCTACAATAATTTTTTCTTGAATTTGTTAAATTTACGAAATAATGAATTTTTGGAGACAACTTTTTGTAATTCTGAGCATCTATAAACCTTCCCTGAATGTGATGTTCCACAAAAAATTGAGCCCGATTGGTTCAGACGTTTATCGGTTTCAAGCAAACAAATAGAAAGACAAGCAAAGTATGTATATATTTATAGAAGTGTACATTTCAAAATTTGGTGGGGGGGGGGGGTGTCCAGAACTCGGTAACTGACTAGAATACTACTCAGAGATTAAAGGGAGTGTTTGCGAAAAACGAAAGGGGAATAGGCTAATATCGAAATGAATTCGATATCGATCGCTAAATTTTACTTTTATCTGTTGCGTATGTAAAGAGAAACCAAGTAAAAAACTTTTATTCCCGGCAAATCCACGAAGTTGCATCATTCGTATATATTATATAACTTATTATAATTTCAAAAGTAAAATGTTGTAATTTTAAAGTTGGGGTGAATTGGTCAAGTTCACAAGTTCAATACAAGAGGGGTGAACAATGGGCTTATTAACTACTGTTACCACATATATATACAATATGCATACAGGTCAATGTGCGGATGGGGGGGGGAGGGTCCTACTAAACATGACCTTTTCTAAAGTTATTATAATAAAATTAATATCAATTTTTTAACAAATAGTGTATTAAAAAAATGATTCTCTTTGAAATTTTGCATAACTTTGTTGTTTCGGACAAGAGTGATTTTTTTTCATTATTGATTGATTTTTATTTCATAGATTGAATTCTAAACGAAATTCTTGAATTCTCCAAATTCAGCAACGCGGACCACATTTAAAATGCCATACATTAGTTATTAAAGGGAGTGTTCGCGAAAATTGAAAGGGGGTATAGGCTTACGGTGAAAAATAATCGCTTTTAATCGCTACTAATCTTGCTTCAATCTGTTGGGTCTACATGGAGAAAATTGTTAAAAACGACTTATGCTGAAGAACTTAGTGTCCATAAAATTCAGAAAGTTTCAATATACGACTCGGCCGGATCGCAAACAAATCAATTTAATTTCAAACAAATCATTCAGATATTACAACCTATAGTCATCGATTATTTTTCGACGCATTCATATTTAGTTAATATTTCATAATATATTTTAATCGTTTTGTATACAATGCACTTAAAAAGCCGAAATAGTTGGCCGCCAGATTATTTTTCGTCGTGAGCCTATTCTCCCTTTCATTTTTCGCGAACTCTCCCTTTAATCACAAAAGCGGGTTCTCTAATGAATTAGAAATTAGAAGGTTTTACTTTTTTATTTAAAACCTATTTATTTTCGATACCCCTTTCCTCTGCAGTTTCTTGATTTTTTTTCAATGGGTGCACTAAAAAAATAAGTACGACGTTTATGAACCAATTTCTGATTTCTCTACAATAGAAGATATAGTTTATTATATTTTAAACAAAGCTCGTTTGCAAACACGGCTTTCTTGTGTTAGTGGGGGATTGGTGTGGGGGGAGGCGGAAGACATCCTGTAAAATTGGGGGGGGGGGGACGTACCCCTTGAAACAATTTCGCCCACGCCCAATTTAGGACGAAATAGTTTGATTACTCCCTCCCATCCTCCCCCGGAAAAGTTCAAAAGCTTGTTTGCTGCATTACATAACTACCCCTTTCACTCAAAACCGGTGTGATTTGAATTTTTGAGCTTGCGGTCCTAGCTTGGACTGTACCGTCTATTTACAATTACTAAAGCTTCAGACCTGTGTGCTGTACAGTGTACAGACAACTTTTTCAAGAAACTCTTTTGTATATTTCTAACAAGTCCTTAAATTTGCTTCTGAAAATTCATAAAGATAAAAAAGTCAGCATGGCATGACATAAATACGGAGAAAATAATTTTGAAACAATTTATCTTTTATTAAATTGAGTCCGAAAAGATTAACAAATATATTATATATATATATATTTCATGGTATTAACAATATCTTTAACATATCAAAATGACTTATTGAGATGCGAGTTAGGTTCAGCGATTGATAATCGCGACTCGGAGACCCTGGCCCGGGCTCGAAGTCTTGGCTCCACATCCAGTTTTTCACTTGGGTCTTTTGACGTTTCACCCACTTTACTTAGCAGTTTCGAACCTTTCGATTCGCTTTTAATATTATCACTCGAGTCACTACTCGAGTATTTATAATCTGCAGGGAAAAGATTAAGCGACTCGAAACTCAGGGTTCGAATTAACCTTTCGCAGTCGAGTTCGTCCGATTCGGAATCTCGAATATCATAATATCCCGAATCCATCCTTGAAAGCGTCCGGTCGTCCGGACTCTCTTCTCCTAAACTCGTCCACTCAGCCGGGGTGGTCCTAATGTCCTGTAGGACGGAAACTGCAGTGAGAAGTTTGTCCTGTTCTGTTCGATCCTCCACCCCGAGGTAAATAAGATCCTTTCTATTCATTCTCTTTAGCTTACACAAACTATCCCAACCGTTTAATATCAATCTAAAACAAAAATTGAATAAATTTTTAGCTTTTAAGCAGACGGAGTTCTTACAGAGATTGTAGGTGGAATTTCAAGTGCAAAAACGGTAAAGATCAATTCACAAAAGCCCCCTATAAAAGCTTTGTCTGATCAAGTGTGAATTATATATAAATTTATATATTTTTTATAATTTTAAAAACTGATTATTTTCCATTGTGGTTTCTCTACAAAAGTGACTTGCACATTTTTACTAAAGGTGCACGAAAACATATAGAAATTATCATGATTAATTAAACACTTTTAAATCTGAAAAACGACAATAATTTTAATAATTTTAAAAACATTGATGAGATAAGGTTTCAAGGGTGCCGTTGTGAGTCAGACACTACTGCCAACTTTTACAAAGAGTGGCTTTATATTGTACTTATAGTCCTTTTAAAGGGACCTATTTGAAAATGAGCAAAGAAAGTTTGATCTTTCAAACACTCTGATAGAAGCAAAAATAAATAACAAAATATAATAAAAGGAATTGAGTCTTTGTAACAAAATCAAATATTTAAACCAAAATATCTTTAGAACCCGTTGTTGTAAACCTTTGATATTTCAAACTCTGATTATTTGATTTAACAGAATTCATAGTTTGAAATATCTAAGGTCTACAACATTTGGTTCCAAAGATATTGTGATTAGAAAATCAGGGTTTGTTGCAAAGACTCAATTCCTTTGTTTCTGAATTTATTAAAATCTATCAAACAAGGATTGATTTCAATAAGATGCATTTAACTTTTAGATAAAATACGGAAAATCTAATCAATAGGGCCATAATAAATCAGAAGAAAAAACTAAATATTTAATTTTATGCTTGAATCATTTTCGTGAAAATATTTTTTTTTCATTTTATTTTCATCAATTTTGATTCATGTTCATTATTCATTAAAAATGGGTTCATTCATTTATTCATTCATTCATTTATTTAAGTCAGACAATAAGTTATTTACAAGTTATACTCATAAAGCATATTGTTTTTGTTCATACCAGAAACTTGCAGTACTCTTTTTATGCAAGGAAAGATTTGAGGGTTTATGGCGTACTAAACAACCTTGCATTTACACTTTATAAAAAAATTAGTGGCATGTATGATTCATAACGATACCCATCAAATCTTTGACTCGACAAAAATCATGGAGTTATCCCAGTTTTCCTATTTTAAAATTTATTAATTTCGATTGTGGTTCTCAAAAATAACTTGATTTATGCAACAGGAGACAGAGAGAAGAACTTAGAATTTAACAGTTTTTCCGAGAGAAAACCTGATTGTTGCTCATTTAAGGGTTTACACTATCTCTGCAACCTGATGGCACGAACCTTTAATGTTTAAAAACCTAGACTTTTTCATCTGCAGGCAGAATTCAAAGTTTGAAATATCCAAGGTTTACACCATCAGGATGTAAAGATATAATATATCCAAACTAAAGCTTGTGATAAATAATCAAATCATCTATAGGTTGATAAAATTACCTTGAGGTCAAGTGCGCGAGGTCCAGGCTGCAGAGGAGACCGGTCAGCGTGTGTTCAGTAATTTGGAGGTTTGGTTCGGGCAAAACCTCCAGCTCTTCCACGTTAATAAACTTGAAGGTTCCTGTCCGTCCTTTATTATCCCCTAACCATATACCACTAGGGTTCCGACTTATTATCTGTATCAAGTCTCCAGCCTAAAATATTATTAATTAAAGGGACTGTACGCGTGGACAGAACAGGACAGATCTGTATTTGATTGCTTGTTGATTTTCTAGAAAAAGTACACCTTATTCATTCATCGATACATTATCCTTCCTTTCATCAACAGGCGTATTCCGAGGGGGGGGGGCTATGGGGGCTCAGCCCCCCCTTCCCACTAAAGCTATATTTCAAATGATCCTACATGTAAAGATGGCAATACCTGATTTACAATGGTATTATCGAAACCTTTATCTGATCATTATTAATGTGGAATGTCGAATATATAATTCATAATTCATGCTTGACCAGACAAAGTTTTAAGGGTAGCAATGTGAATCAGTCATTGCCATCTTTGCATAGAGAGTCTTTGCATCGTTTTAACCCAGTACAGTAGACCTTGTATATCAGAGGGACTTATTGTGCTTGTTTCAATGTGCGTTGTATTTTTTTATATTGTACACTTTATGTATTGTACTAGGTGTACAGAAGCCCTTGTATATAGTAGGGACTAGAGGTGTACAGTAGCCCTTGTATTCCTTTTAGCCTGTACAGTATTCCTTGTATATAGTAGGGTCTATAGGTGTACAGAAGCCCTTATATTGTTTTTAGCCTGTACAGTATTCCTTGTATATAGTAGGGTCTATAGGTGTACAGAAGCCCTTATATTGCTTTTAGTCTGTACAGTATTCCTTGTATATAGTAAGGACTAGAGGTGTACAGTAGCCCTTGTATTACTTTTAGCCTGTAAAGTATTCCTTGTATATAGTAAGGACTAGAGATGTACAGAAGCCCTAGTATAGTTTTTAGTCTGTACAGTATTCCTTGTATATAGTAAGGTGTAGAGGTGTACAGTAGTCCGTGTATTCCTTTTAGCCTGTACAGTATTCCTTGTATATAGTAAGGACTAGATATGTACAGAAGCCCTAGTATTGCTTTTAGTCTGCACAGTATTTCTTGTTTAAAATAGGGACTAAAAGTGTACAGAAGCCCTTTTATTGCCTTTAGCTTGTCCAGTATTCCTTGTATATAGTAAGGACTAGAGGTGTACAGAAGTTCTTGTATTGTTTTTAGCTTGTGCAGTAGTTCTTGTATAACGCAGGGACTAGAAGTGTTCAGAGATCTTTAGCCTTTGTATTATCTTCTAAGTTCTGTATCGGAAGGACTTTAAGTATACAGCAGTCCTTGTACTTCGAACTACTAGAGGTGTACATAAGTCGTTGTTTTAATTTTACCTTGTACGGAAGTCCTTGTGTGTCGTACGGACTAGGTGTACAGTCCACTTTTGCCCGGGCACAACCGCAGTACGGTCCATTGTACGCTTTTTTCTTCTCTTGCAGACGCCGGGACCTGGACAGTGTACAGTGTACAAATTTAAATATCACATATAAACATGATGATGATTAGAAATTCTCAGATATGAATACAGTGAGAACCAGCATATTAGGAAGACGACTTGAAAGTCATGATTTCAAAAAGTCCAACCATAGATTAATTAAAATAACAGAGAGGACAATAGATGTCGTCCCTTCAAGATTTGTGTTTAGTTTTGCTCGCAATAACCCTGAGGCAGACGCTTAAAGGAGATACGCGCATGCTGCCTAAAATTACAAGACAGACGTAGAGCCTGTTCTACGCTGACTGCGCGTAACTCCTTTGGACTTCAGCCTCAGGGTTATTGTGAACGAAAAACCCCTAAATCTTGAAAAGACGACATATCTAGTCTCCTATCAGTTATTTTTATTAATCTATGAGTCCAACGAACATGAGATACAGCATTTGTGCAGTGTAAACACATCCGTTTTCGCTTAATAAGTGATTTTTCAGTTACTAGTAAAACATTTTCTTTTTAAAAACATGGAATTGATTCTGGCTGTTTTGGTACAACTTCAACTACTTGGTACAACAGATTTGTTTCCTTTATTTTACCAATAATTACGCTGATAATGGGATTCTATGTCGGCTTTTAAATTGAAAAAAAACAGCATTTTTCATCATTTTATTTTTCAAAAATTTATTTTTACCTGCGGAGTGTCGAATTAATCTGAAAATATTCTTCGTCAAATTCGGCGGCCGGAGCCGGGAGTGCTACTTCCGGTTTACGCCGCTTTAATATCCGGTCACATGATTTGCTCCTAAAAAAAATCTTTAAAAACGAAACTTTTTTCTTCAACAGATCATACAAATTGATAACTTTAAAATGGTGGATATCGAGATCAATGCGCGCTTGATCCTCCTTTTTTTTCTTAATATCCAGAAAGTATAAAAATTTCAACCAAGCAGAGTCGCGTTTAAAAGCCGGGAAATTTGAAATTTTGCGCACCATTTAAAATTACTAAACAGAAACTGTAGGGTCTCTCTAATTTTGAAAACCCGGTTTTTGATTTTTCTTAACTATATCCAAAAAAGAGTGGATTAAGCAAGAAATTTAAAGTGTCCACATTGAAATGGATATTCGGATTAAGCAGGATCGGAATTACAGGTATCTCATTAAAAAGTTCCCAGCTCTGATCACCTAATTTTACTAGTACACTCTTTTTGTAAACAAAAATCAATTCTTAATCTTTATTCAAAGTTCAAACTAAATTGTAAAAACCATTTTCTTAAATCAGATTCTTGTCACACGTTAACATTGGGTTCAATATTCATTTAGAAATCAATAATTAAGTTCAAAGATTATGCATATACAGTGAGAACCAGAAAACTGTGAGAGACGACATTAAAGCAATACTTGAGTGTTTCTGATGTTGTTACAAAGAAAATAGTTTTACTAGACACTAATCACTTATTAAGTAAAATTGGTCTGTTGACACTACACAATATTATTATTATTATTATTATCATTATTACCTTGGCTGAAGCATTAAAGAAAGACGTTCTCTGAGACGATCTGTTCTCTCTTCAAGGGCGATTTTACCATCTCGTATGGACGAAATACTCACACCGGACGATATTTCAGAGTCCGAGTGACGAAAAAGTGACGAGTATGATTTACTTTTTTGAGAAACCTAAAAAAAGTAGAAGTAAAAAATTTATCATTTTGATCATGCTGAAATCAATAAACAGAAAAGAACTGAGTTTTGCCACAAAAGCAAAAATCTGTAAAGGTTCCAACATTTAAAAACTGCATTCTGTAAAAGTTTTCTTTTATGAAGCTGCACACAACTTCTTTTTTTCCTCAAAGAGAAAATATGAGGAAAAAATTAACCAATGATAGTCTTTGGTTCGTTTTTTTGCATATATCTTCTCAGAGGGCTAAAATTTTACAAGTTGTAAGGAACACAAATGTTTAGAATTCTTTTTTTTAATTTGTAAAGCTTCTCAGATAATTGTGGAATGTTTAAAAGTCCAGGATCTTTTTTGTTTCGTTTTGAAAACGAAACAAGCTATTTGCAGTGCACATCATTAGAGTACAGTACAGTCCAGTATAGTATAATACAGTAAAGTAAAGTACAGTAAAGTACAGTACAATACAGTACAGTACAGTACAGTACAGTACAGTACAGTACAGAACCCGTAGTTCCTGTAGTTTCGATTTTACCAAAACATTTTTTTTATAGCTCTTTAGAAAGATAAGCTATGATTTAAAACATGTATAAGATTCTATTGTAACATAAACTTAAAAATACAATTAATAAAAGAAATTAGTTTCTTTTTCCAGCAGTCAAGTATTTGAGTTCTTCGGTTAACCACAGAAATGCGCAATGGCAGCGCGGTGTGCTAGGGGTTAAGCGCGCGCAATTGTAATTATGTCAATTAAAAGATTGAAATGGATTAGAGTAGTTAAACGTTACGTAAATACAATCTGTTTAACTTTCTCTAGTTCTTAATCGGTTCATTCGCCTTTTAAAAATAAACTGATTACACACATTTAAAGTTAATCTCATCAGTCAAAGATGCCCAAGAGGGTCATATTTGAATGAAAATTAATTTCTTGGAAATTTCAATTTTACCAATTCTAATATCTTATTGGAATATGGAAATGTTTATAAAATGAATACGTTGTTTTCAAGAAACTCGAGGTTTCGCAGAATTACTGAACCACATTTTTTTCAAAAACCCTATGGCATATACAGCGGGACCCATAAAACTTTGGCATAGGAAGACGAAATTTTAGCAATATTTTGTGTTTTGGTTGTTTTCATAGTTTTGTCAGTATCTTGAAGATTAACTGTTATTTGAAATGGGTCTGTTTGTGTAATACTGCATGTAAATGAAAATGGTCTGTGTTTGTGTTCATTGCACTATTTAAAATTATAACTTTAGTGTATAATAATCTTCCTTCTGTTCTACAGCTTAAACAGACTGTGAGCGTGATCTAACCCTCCAATTATCTCATGTAAAGAGGGCAGTGTCTAATTCACAATGATACCCTTGAAACCTTTATAATAATAATAATAATATAAAACTGTATTAGAAAATAAACAATTATTAATACTATATGATAAACATTAATACCTAATTCATACTTGATCAGACAAAGCATAGAGGTAACTTTGTGAATCGGACATTGCCATCTTTTCATTGAGGGTCACTTGAAATAACGCTTACAGACCCTTTAAAAGTTTAAATTATACCTGTGAATATTGTGATTCAAGTGACAACTCGGACATTTTTCTTTCTACACAAACCTCCAGCTCCGATCTCTCCAATTGATCTGACCTCCTGCTCCTCCGGCCTAATTGCTCTGACCTCCGGGAGACGTCCTGAAACCTTTTAGGTATCTTGTCCCCCATATATTTGACCCTGCCCCTCACCCCCTCCCACC